GAAGTAACCCAGACCAAGCAAGACACACACATATGTGCTTAGTTATAAGTAGATTTTAGCTGTATAGTACAGGATAACCATTCGACAAGGCACAGACTCAAAAAAGATAAGTAACATAAAGGATCCAAGGGAAGCTGCATATATCTCACTCAGAAGGGGAAGTAGCACAGACAGAGTTAGAGGCTGAAGAGAGGGAACAAGGTAGGGGAGGAGGCAGAAAAAAAAATATGAAGGTGGAAATCAGGCCTTGGGAGAGTGGGTTCAAGAGGACAGAAGGACATGGAAAAAAAAGAAACCGAAGATGGGAGTATCTCTGTGACAAGCTGGAGACCTAAGTCAGGGTAGGCTCCTAGGAGGAGCCTAGGAGGATATAAGGGGGAATCAAGCAGAGATTCCTAATAGCAGAGGTCATAGAGACTGAAGAGGACACCCTCTAACTACACAAGTCTCCTAGTAGAGGGAGAGAATCACCAATCCACCCATACAAACTTCCATCCAAAATTTACCCTGCCTACAAGACGGGAAGGGATAAAGATAAAACAGATAGAACAGAGATTGAGGGAATGCCCAACTGATGTCTGGCCCAACCAAAGTCCCATCCTATCAGAGAGTGCCAACCCCTGACACTATGAAGGATACTAAGCTAAGCTTGCAGACAGGAACCTGACAGAGTTTTCCTCTGAGAGGCTCTACCCAGCAACACTCAAAACAAATGCTGAGCCAAACATTGTGCAGTGCATAGGGAGATTTGAGGAAAAGTGGGAGGAAAGAGAAAAGGACCTGGAAGTGACAGGAGCTCCGCAGGAAGACCAACAGGGCCAACTAACAAGGACACAGGGTTGCATGCATGGACTGGATCTAAACCCCCTTACAAAATATAGCAGATGGGCAGCTTAGGCTTCATGTGGGGACTGCGTCTGATGTGGATACTCTTGCCAGCCTTTTGATCACTTCCCCCTAGTGGGACTGCCTTGCCAGGCCACAGGGGAAGAGGACATGTTCAGTCCTGCTATGACTTGATGAGTTGGGATGGATGGGAAGGGAGTACCTATGAGGAATAGGTGGTGGGAGGGGGGAGGAAGGGTGGGACTGGGAGACGAAGAGGGATGGAACTACAACCAGGTTGTAAAGCGAACAAATAAATAAATAAATAAACAGCTAAATAAATAAATAAATAAATAAATAAATAAATAAATACATACATACATAAAATTAAGGGCCATGAAATTATTATTGGATACTTAGATGAATATACTTTCACAGTTTTGATATTCACATTGTAAATAAGAACAATGGTTTTTAAATATTTTAATTATCATTCCTGTATTTATCATCTGTGACAGACAGTATTAGCTGCCTTACAAGGTCTATCATTTCTTCTTTGTCATTAATAGAATATTGATCTCGATTTTTTTTTATTAAAAATATGTCTACTTAAAAACATTTCTCCCTCTACATAACCTCTGATTGTGGCAGCCACAGGAGCCCTTTACCCTTTAAGGCTGCAGAAGCCAATCAGGTAAAATACCAGCAGGAGCTGTTTTCCTACCACCTATGCTGACAGCCATAGCAGACCTGAGCTTTTGCAGATCATTATCCCCTCAGTCTCACTCACCACACAACATTGGAAATGAAGAAACTCAGGAAACTCACAGAAAATGGATTATAACCAATAATGGAATAGAAAGGGGCTACAGTAGATGTTCTTCACTCACTCCATCACTAACTAGACAGAATCACTTTCATACCTGAATTCTTTGTTATACTACAAATAATAAAATTCTTGAACAATTGTTTTATTATTGCAGAAAAACAAAATGCAATTCCAGGTGATACGATTGGTTCCTTAGCCAAATCACTTCTGTATTTATGAAGACTAGATAGGCAGATGTAAATAGATGGAAGCTTGATGACTGACTGATAAATGATAAATAGCTAGATCACACATACATACATACATACATACTTACATATATACATACATACATAGACAGGATAGAAAAAAAGATAAAAATACAGCATGACAGACAGGCAGATAAACAGAAAATAGATAATAGATCTATGGATGGATAGATAGATACATAGATATAGAGATGATAGATGGATAGATGGCAGAAAGATGATAAAGGATGGATAGATTGATACTATTACTTCCATAGACTCATGTATGTCCCTTCTCAAGTGCATTCTGCTAAGTCCTTCCATGATCAGCTGTGTAGAGCAGCACTGTACACTCAGAGGGCAAAGTCCAAGCCTCTGTTCAACAGGTCTCTCAGTTCTTTTCCACTACTTCTGCTCACTTCTTCTAAGCCTCCGGCTCAGGGCTTGTTCCATGTGTGCAGTCTTCAGACTCTCTCCAAAATGGCTCAGTAGCTTAGAGTGAGTGTTTTCTTTGACACTTTCATATATTCTGATTACCACAAGTCCATGCCTTCCTCCTGTACTGGCCCCTCTTCCCAATAAGAGCCACACATACTCATGAAAAGAGTATGTTTTGCTTTGCTCTTTTCATTGTGCTGGTTTCATCAGGGTCATCTGTGTGACCATGAAGCTAGAATTCTTCCCTGGAAACTGCTGGCCCATCAGAGGTTCAGAAATGAACAGAGGTCTCTTTGTCCCTGGACAGCAACAGTAGCCAACATTCAGCAGGGACGGCAGACTCCATTAATGCCTCCCTGATACATTTTTGACTAGAAAGTGCTGTTCTTTCAACTATTACCATATTTTTAAATTTTTAACTTTTTTTTCTGTTCAGTCAAAATGTTTTCCTTCATGTACCGTATTTACTACAATTCAGGCTTTACTTTTCACATTATAGATTTCTGGGGAGACATTCTACAGTAACAATCACTTTATCACTGCCCTTTAATTCCTGGAGCCTGCAAGCTAGTGACATTCTCAACCAGGAACAACTTTTCACATCCACCTGCCTTTCAACACTACCTCAGTGTTAATTTTTCTATCCTTTGGAAACATTTTACATTTTTTATTACTTCCCCTTAACCAAAATGATAGTAACTGCTGTGTGTCTTCCTTGTCTTCACACCTCCCACAATCAGTTCCCTTTTATCCTCACTCGGTCCAGCGTGTTCCGTGGAGAGTATGCTTCAAGGGCTTCTTGTTATCTCTATCTTTACTGATCTCTCTGTTGTCCTGAGAGTGTCTGGCTTCAACTATGACTTCAAGCAAATATCTGGGTTCACACCTCAAGCTGAGAACATTCCCTCTGAATTCTAGCTCTTGATTTTTAAAGCATATTTGATCTTTTCCCATAAAAATACAAAACAAAAACAAAATGAGAGAGGATCAAATTCATATTTCTACCACAAGTTTACATGTAGTTATTTTATGTTATGCCAGTCATTCAGGCTCAAAATATTAGAAATCTGTTTCCTTATTTCATCTCTTACATTCTATGTATTAAACTTAGACCATTAAATCTTTTTACTCTTCTTTGTGGTAATGATGTTGGCTTAAGGATCCTGAAAAAGAGAGACTTGAACTCAGAGTTCTTAATGTTCACATTGCTGTTTTCTTCTCTAAAGGCAAAGCCTTTCCATGTCAATGGGGATACTGAGGACTAAATAGATCTTTTCTGAAAGGTCTTCACATCTTTTAGAGCAAAGGAGCCTAAATTTTAAGCCTTTCATGTTCTTAGTTTCTTCCTTTTCCTTTCCTTCCCCCACTCCTTTTCCTCTCCAGCAAATACTGAGTTTTCTTTAATGAACTTTGGCAATGCCATTCATGTGCAGAGCACACAGTATTAGAGAACAGGTATAACTGCAGTAGTTCACTATACTGAGAAACTTGGGTTCTTCATCTCTGCTGTCTCCCTCCCCTCCCCTTCCTTGAAGGAGCCTCAGCATTTTGACCATCCTCAAAGAGATCACATATACTGTACCACAGGGCACAACCTAAGTGATTCTTTGCCTTGAGGGTACAGATTAAGATACTAGGCTTAAAACTGCCTCACTTTTACCTTTTTACAATAATTACAAAACTACTACCAAATCCAACAATGTATTCATTTAATATTGTAAAATCATGTTCTCAAAATATTTAAGGACTGCAGGCAGTTACAATACATGCTTGCAACTTTGCATTTAGCACTCTATTACTGGTATACATATGCCTACCCAGCTTGACTGTGTCCACATTAATTCCTTACTTTCCCTCTACAATTCTGTCCATAAGTGCAGCCATGTAACACATGGCTACTTTTGCTCAATGACAGATCATATGTGCAGTGAGGGTCTCATGAGGGCACTTAACCTCATTGTGTCACAAATGTCTTAATATGTTCAAGATAATGTCATAGTGTAGTCAGTGATGGAGCCAGTTACCCAGCAATCCCTCAAAATGCAGTCTGTTGATATGAATTCACATTCATTCTTATCACACTGGAAAACACTTTTCTGCAAACCCATCTTCAGCCTCTGTCCTGGTTTAATTAGTTTGTTTTTCTAACAGCTGCAGTGTTAGCCTTCCTTCCAGATTTTGTCTGTCCTAAAACTCAAGTACTACAAAGAATCCTTATCTTTCAAAATATGTCCAATAATGTGTAACTTCAAGTTTCAGGTTTTTCTGAGAACTTCTTTCAGTATTTATGTATAATATGTCTGGTTGTTCCAATATCACTAATTCTATTGAAAAATAAGTAAGTATTTTACCCTCTTTCAATAATAATATAAACTGTCTTATGCCATTTCTACAATTAAAAAGTTTAAAAAAATAGTTTCCAGAAGAATCAATATATATATACAAATAAATATCTTACAGTTAAAATGCATTTAAACACAATTTGATTTTAAGATTGACATGGTTGTGTAAGGGATATACAAGTAGATATAAAGTCATTGCTAATGGTTTCATCAGTAAATAGTTTATAAAAGGTACAGAACAAAACTGTTAAACAGATTACATACTTAAGTATAGAATTTCAAGTTAAAATTTTATATCTATGAACTGATTTTGAAGGAAACATTCATTGAATGAGTTACCTTTTTCAGTGATGAGCAAATGTTAAGGTATAGCCTGTGGTTGAATCTTTTAAATCTCTCTGGAAGATGCCAGTTCTGAATAATTTCTTCATCAGATATAACATGGTGGTCCAGAGTTTTTAGAGTCCAGATACTATTGACAAGAACGTGCCTGTAGCCATTCTTTAGGCTCACTGGACAGTCAAACATGGTCAGCCCTGTAAGGGTTGAACAAGCAGCCAGTACACAGATGTTCTTCAGCTTTGAAAGCCCATTGTCGTGGAGATAGAGGAGCTTTAGGTTCTTGAGTCCACTCCAAAATTTCTTATCTGGAAGAGTCTTTATCTGAAACAATGTTTAAAACATGAATAGTTCCTTGAAACTCCATGGAACATGGTACAAGTTTTAATATAAGAGCTTTGCACATTGTTAGTGGCTAAAAAATAACCAAAACCAGAATTTCCAATTATCTGAATGATGAAATGGTAATGTCAATTTTCCTGAAGGTGTTTTTTTTTTTGTTTGTTTGTTTGTTTTTTTTTTTTTTTTTTTTTTTTTTCAAAGTTCAAGTGCTGAGGAAAACCTAAACTGAGCCTTCACTGCCCTTGGAAATTCACTACCCAACTCTCACTTTAAGGCCTCTCACTTAAAGCCAGAGTAGGGATAATATAACAATTCTTATAAAATCTGGTGTTAATAAGAATGAAACTAATGGTAGTTACCTGGAAAAAACATCTCTGCAAAGGTTAGAGTCTTCCATAGAAACTATTTAGATCATTTATATTATTCGTAAGTGGTATTGGTAAGCATAAGACATAAAAGAAAAAAACAGGGAACTTCTAGGAGCTTGATAACTGAATCATAAAATTTTTCATGTCCAGATTCAGAAACACGGAACTAGTATGGACAGGAAAAGATTTTTATTATACAACTAATGACAAACCTTGATATCTTCTTGAAGGCAAAGCAAGCAGTTTTAGGAATCTTGCTGTCCTTCTACCCTTTACAGGACTGTAATAAAGACAAGGATCATATTGAACAAGGGTTCATCACAAAGTCACAGAGGAATATTTTGGCTCAGGGAACTGCCTGCCTGCCTGAACAGACTTGTCAGATCTGGACTCTTCTGATATTGTAGAAAAGCAAAGAAAAGCCTGCTTTTGCATAATTTCATTTAAAATTTTTGGATTATATATTATGTCTTGTTTCTATGCACCTTATTCTGTCTTTTAATTTTTTTCTTTATATTTTCAAGAGATAAGCATTGTGGTGGTTTGAAAGAAAAGCTGATGTTTGATTTTGTCTTGCCCTAGTAATTCTTTACTATGCTCCCTTTCTTCCATTTTAGAATACTAATGTATATCCTATGTCATGTTATGTTGGAAGTATGCGATCTGCTTTTTTATTTTGACTTTACAGGGGATTACAGTTAAGAGATTACATGAGTCTCAGAAGAGACTTTGAACTTTGGACTTTTAAACAGGATTGAATCTTAACAGACTATGTGGACTTTTGAAGATGGACTGATGATACAGAATGTAGTGGTGCTAAGGCAAATGACCCTCATAGGCTCATAAGGAGTGGCACTATTAGGAGGTATGCCATTGTTGGAGGAGGCATGTCACTAGGGGATAGGTTCTGAGGTCTGATATGCTCAAGCCATGCCTAAGTGTGGCTCACTTGCCCTGGATTTAGAACTTTGAGCTGTTCCCTCCCTTTCCTGCATCATATCTGCCTGCATACTGCCATTCTTCCCACTATAATGATAACAGACTAAACAGCTGAACTTAAGCCAGACCCAGTTAAATGTTTTCCTTTGTAAGAGTTGTCACAGGCCAGGAGGTGGAGGTACACACCATTCATACCAACACTTGGAAGGCAGAAGCAGTCACAATCTCTGTGAGTTCTAGGACAGCCTGATCTACAGAGTGAGTTTCAGGACCACCAAAGCTAAACAGAGAGAAACCCTGTCTCAAAAAAAAACAAACAATAAAACAACAAACAAACGAAGTTGTCATAGTCATGGGGTCTCTTCGCAGCAATAAAAACCCTAACTAAGACAGGAAAAGTGTTGTAGGTTTACTGCATAACTTAATGGGTAAACAGACATAAGTACTTGCCTGGTTTCCATGGAGATCAAGTTTGATGAGCTTTATGCAGGTCTGCAGTGGATAAATGTCAGTAATAAAGTTGTTAGAGAAGATGCACACTCTAAGTGAGATGCAGGACTGCACCCTCTCCATGGACTTCAGATGAAGGCCATTATACTTCATAAACACAAAATCTTTCTGATCTTCTACTATATTTTCATTGTAGTGACTCCATTCTTCATGACTGGTAAGCTCTTTTGTGATTGTTCCATGAAACATCTAGGAAAGATGAAGATTTATGCTTAAGAATGACTCAGGTGCCTGCAGAAATGGCTCAGTAGCTCAAGTCACTAGCTATACTTTCAGAAGACTAGAATTTGAATCCCAACACCAACATGTCAGCTCAAACTGCCTGTAACTACAGCTCCAGGAGATCTGACACCCTCTCTGTGGCCTCTAAAGATATCCACATGTACATGTCATATATATGTGTACAGAAATATAAACAGAAACATATACTAAAGATAATAATTACTTTCAAGTTTTAAAAATCTACCTGAAGTATATACCCAAAGTTTGCTCAAGTACACAAAAGGGATATTTGCTCAACCATGTTTATAGCAGCTTTATTTGTAATAGCCAGAACCTGGAAACAACCCAGATGTCCATCAACGGAGGAATGGGTACAGAAATTGTGGTATTTTTACACAATGGAATACTATTCAGCAATCAAAAAGGAGGAAATAATGAAATTTGCAGGCAAATGGTGGGATCTACAAAGGTCATCCTGAGTGAAATATCCCAGAAGGAGAAAGACAAGCACAGTATATACTCACTTATATAGACCTATAAGATATGATAAACATAATGAAATTTATACACCTAAAAAAGATAATCAAGAGAGCGGACATGGGGTAAGATTATCAATCCTCGTTTAGAAAGACAGATGGGATGCGCATTGAACATATGACAGGAGTTTACTGAGCGCATTTTAAAGACTCTAACTAGCAGTGTTTTCAAAGCAAAGACTCATGACCAAACCTTTGGCAGAGTACAGGGAATCATAAGAAAGAAGGGGAGTTATTCTGATGAGGAAAGGATAGTAGCTCCACAAGGACCAAATATATCTGGGCACAGGGTCTTTTCAGAGACTGACATGCAACCAAGGACCATGTATGAATGTAACCTAGAACCTCTGCTCAGATGTAGCCTGTGGTAGCTCAGTAACCAATTGGTTTCCCATAGTGAGGGGAACAAGGACTGTTTCTAACAGGAACTCAATGACTGGCTCTTTGGCCTCCCCACCCCCCAAGGGAGGAGCAGTCCTGTTAGGACAACAAGGAGAGCTTTGCAGCCAGTCCTGAAGATACCTGATAAAACAGGATCAGATGAATGGGGAGGAGGTCCCCCCTATTAGTGGACTTGGCAAGGGGCACGGTGGAGATGAGGGAGGGAGGGAGGGACTGGGAGGGAATGAGGGATCGGGACATGGCTGGGATACAGAGTTAATAAAATGTAACTGATAAGAAAAAAATAAAATTCAAAAAAAATCTACCTGAAGATAAACATATTATTTGATAATATATAGTGATAATAAAAATGGATAAAGTAATTCAAATAAAAAGATTTAACTGCCATACAATCTTCTATTCCACAATATGTCACTACTTTTTACATTTTTATTTTTTTAATAATTAGTTTATTCCCTTTGTATCCCAGCTGTAGCCCCTTACCTTGTTCCCCCCCAATCCTACCCTCCCTCCCTCATCCCCTTCCCATGTCCACTGATAGGAGAGATCCTCTTCACCTTCACTCTGACCCTAGTCTATCAGGTCTCATCAGGACTGGCTGCATTTTTTTTCTGTGGCCTGGTAAGTCTGTTCCCCCCTTCACAGGGAGGTGATCGAAGAGGCAGCCACTGAGATCATGTCAGAGACAGTCCCTGTTCCCCTGACTAGAGAACCCACTTGGAGACTGAGCTGCCATGGGCTATATCAGTGCAGGAGTTCTAGGTTATCTCCATGCATGGTCGTTGTTTGGAGTATCAGTTTCAGAGAAGACCCCTGTGCCCAGATTTTTGCTTCTGTTGCTCCTGTACCCTCCAAGTCTTTCTCCCCCTTCTTTCAGAAGATTACCTGCACTCTGCCCAAAGAGTCTCAGCTATGAGTCTCAGCATATGCTCTGAGACCCTACTGGGTAGAGTCTTTCAGTGGTCCTTTGAGGTAGGCGCCTGTACTGTTCCCTGTTTTCTCCCTATTCTGATGTCAGTCCCATTTGTCTTTCTGTGTGAGGATTGAGCATTTTACGCACGGTCCTCCTTCTTGCTTAGCTTCTTTATGTGTACAGATTTTAGTATGTTTATCCTAAATTATATATCTAATAAGTACTTGTAAGTGAGTATATATCATGTGTGTCTTTCTGCTTCTGGATACCTCACTCAGGATGATCTTTTCTAGTTCCTATCATTTGCCTGCAAATGTCATGATTTCCTTGTTTTTAACTGCTGAGCAGTCTTCCATTTGTAATTGTACTACAATTTCTGTATCCATTCCTCTGTTGAGGGACATCTGGGTTTTTTTTCCAGATTCTGGTTATTACCAATATAGCTGCTATGAACATGGTTGAGCAAATTCAATCAGAGAATTCCTGCTGATAAACACCTTTAGCAATGTGGCTGGATACAAAATTAACTCAAAAATCAGTAGTTGTCCTATATACCAAAGACAAAAGGACTGAGAAAGAAATTAGGGAAACCACACCCTTCACAATAGCCACTAATAACATTAAGTACCTTGGTGTGATTCTAACCAAGGAAGTGAAAGACCTGTTTGAAAAAAGTTTCAAGTGTCTGAAGAAAGAAATTGAAGATATCAGAAGATGGGAATATCTCCACAATATGCTAAATGTCTAACATTGAAAAATTACCACTGTCCTTACTAAAACTAAACACCAAAAGGAAAATAAAACTTCATTTTCCACAAATAGGACACATGTAATTTACAAAATAAATCATTTCTACACAAGACATCAAAGCTACACCTAAGTGTAGCATAAATTACTGTTCTGGTTTAATGTCAATTTGGTAAAAAGCACTATAAACTATTAATAAGTTGATAAAAGCCCAACATTTGTAGAAGAGCCTATGAACACAGCCATAGGAATTAAAGGCCACCACTCAGACTGACATATCCTAAAGAAAGCAGTCATCTTTAATGTGTGTCTTTAATGCTCTAATTAACAGAAAAACTAGTATTAAGAGTTATAAAAAACATTTGGACTTTGAATCTAAAAGTTTTAGGTTAATGCTTTATTATATAACCTTTTATGGTATCTTCCATATCCATGAATTTGCCCTCACTGTGGGGTAATTTCAGATTTTATAGAAGACAGTTAAACATTACCTTCAGAAGGATTCATAGCATGAACAGTCTACCTGGTGGCTTTTTGCAAGATACACTATTCTTCCTATTAGAAGAAACAGTTTTTACCAACAGCAAATAGACTAAATCTACATAATCCAGATAAAAATAAATGTTGAAATTCATATGACACTAATATCAAAATAACAGATTCTTTAATATCCTGGCCTAAAATTGTAGTAGTATAATATATATAATATATTATATATAAGAGCCAAAGATGCAGAGTCTTTTAATCAGGAAATGTATGGACACTCTGACATAGATTAGCTTACATTACAAATAATCACTCTTGCACATTTAGCGCTATAGACCTGGCACAAGGAGCCACATGTCTATAACATGCTGAGTTCTATAGACCCCGAGATGCAAGCTGTACCTACATTATGTCTTGTTTACTTTGATTGTACAAAGTGGAACCCTCTCCTGGGTTCTCCTTCCAAAGACCTACTTTTCCTTTTCCATTTTGGTGTAGTTTGGCTAACTTTAGGTGTTGACAAGGGCTCACAAGCAACATGTCCTCAAAAGACCAACATGTCAGGCTGCAAAGCAGAAAATAGGTGTACTTTCATTTGGAGCCACTAACTGTTCCACATGAAATTTCAAACATTTAGGACTAAGCAATGTTCTGTCTTTTTTTTCTCTGCATCTTAACCAGTTGAGGGATCCTTTCAGTTTCCTTCTGCTGCAGGAAGAAGCTTCTCTGATGAGGGATGAGAGATGCTCTAACCTATGATCTAACAATATCATTAGGAGTCACTTTAATACTTTTCATTTGCCAGAGTAATGGTAGTAGATTCTCCGGTGAAATTCATTTTAGACTGTGAATGCCGCTCAGCAGTCAAGCAACTGCCTAGTACTACCAAGGACCTCTTTTGATGCCCAGCATTTAATATAACTCACTTTTAAAGCATGCAGAAACATTACATTTCATGGATACAGCATACTTTATCAATCCAGTCACCTATTAAAAAGATTTTAGCTGACTTAAATCTTGGGAGATTACAAAGTTGCTACAAGTACATTTTTGCTGGTTTTCTGTATGTATTTTGTTTCAATTTTGATTAATATCAAGGAGCCCACTTTCTGCTCATATAATATGCTTTATCTTGTGATGAACTGCCTATATATTTGAAATCAGCTCTGCTATTTTGTATCCCCATCAGCAACAGGCTGAGACATTATTCCTTCATATTCTTAGTAGTATTTGGTATAACAATATCTTGAATCATGGCCAGTATGATAGCTATATAGAGGTACCTCACTTTTCAAATTTGTAATTCCTACCGATATATGATACTGAAAATCTTTCTATGTGCTTATTTGTTATCTGAGTATGTCTTTTGATAAAGCATTTTTCAACTCCTTTGTTTATTTTTTGGTTGGCTGTTACCTTATTGTTGAGTTTGAGTACCTTGTATTATTTTGGATATCAGTGTTTTACTATCTTTTCTCCAAGACAGGCACTTGACTTGATTTTCTTAATTCTCCTTTTAATCTAACACATAAAATCATTTTTAAAAATATGTTCATACAATCAGTACCCATCCATATACAACATCAAAATTCCATCTCTCTATCCAATTAAAAGTGACTTTATGCACCACTGCATCAGTATACAATATATACAGCTATGTATAATTTTATATAGCTGCGTCATTGTATATAAAGCTTTATATTGCAAATTACTTATCCTACTGATCATTACAACTCACTTATTTTAAAACATTTTAAACAATGCAATATGTTTATTCAAACAGCTTTATCTCCCCGTTTGTTAACATTCATTGAGTCCATTTTGTGCAGCCTACATACACAGACTGTGTGTATGTGGGGCCATCCACTGAATCATGACTGACCTACCAGAGGCCACAGCCTTAAAGAAAACAGACTCACCCTCTCCCAGCAGCTATAAATGGTTCATACCCCTCCTCAGCTCTGAGGAGAACATGTATAAGTTATAATGACTGACCTGGCAAAATACAGCTGCTACTATATAGTGAAAAGAATTTCATGGGATCAACAACCTTCTGATTTGAATTTACAGATTTAAATCACCCTCCTCAAAAGAGAGGCACTGTTATCAGGCACTGTTATTGGAACCTGTGGCAACACAGGTCACGAGGATCTACTGCAGAAGCTAACCTGCTGAACAGACATAGCATTAAACTTACTCTTCATGACAAATCACTAGGCCTGTAGATGAGAGCATTTGTCAACCCTCATCAGAAAAGTTTCCTTTTGCAAGTAGATGGCAACTGACACAGAGATGCACAACTGGTCAGTGTGTAGAGACTGAGACTACATAATGTTCAGCTTCTGAAACTGATATATCAATATTACAGCCTTCCCTCCAAAGGCTCAGGGATCATTGCATAAGAGAAGTGAAGAGACAGTAAGTGCCAGAGGAGGTGGACACAGAGGGCAGCTGCACCCATGAACTCACAGCAGTTGTGACAATATGCACCAGACCTGCACAAATGCAGGAAAGAGCAAACCCATTCTAGCCTGGAATGGGAAGGTGGCCATGAAGTCCATACAACAGTTTCAAATTTAGTTATTGTTTTGTTTCCCGCTTATAAGAATGTATGGTACCCAAATATGTAGGCCTTTCGGACCTTTGTTATTCCCTTTGGATCTCAATCTAGCTCTGAAGTTAAAACAAATCCCATCTGTATTCTGACAACTCACAAAAGTTTCTAGCAAGACCTGTCTTGATTTCCGGAACCACATACATAATGCACACAGTCACATACAACAATTTCCACTATATATACACACATGTGTTCTACATATCCAATATGAAAGGTCTTCTCTTAGGAATTCACTGTTCTTCCCCATATATGGCTTTCCTCATCTCATTTAATGGCATCTTTTGCTAGTTTCTCTGGTGTTCCCCACTCATTTAGTGGACACGTTTCTGGTTTTGTATTGCTGGAATGTGTCTACAGTCCAAGCAATGTCTCCCCAACCCCCATTACTCTTTTAGATTTCCACCAAATGTTTCCTGATTGTGCTACTGCAGTAGCCTCCAAACAAAGCTCTGTGTTTGTGCTACTGTAGAAGGCTCCAAATAAATCTACTTCCATTACTGCCCATTTCACTATGTCCCCTTTAAACATAAGACAACTCACCAAAACCCTGGGATGACATCAGTTCACAAACTCTGACTTCTATTGCTCTTACTCTCAGATCTATAACTTTCTGTATTTTCTAAATTTTCTTTGTTAGCAAAGAAAGTATTGTAAAACAGTAATCTCTTCCCCACAAATGTTTCCACTTTGACTAAGGAATTAAACGCCGAGGTGAAGTCTTTCAGTGAAAACCGAAGCTTACTCAGAAACTTAAGTGAGTTCCTAAGGAGATGCTATGCAGAGTTCTGAGTATGAATTTAATGAAGAGGCTCTTCTCAACTCAAATTGTAGGGAATGATAGGATTTCTGAGATTCAGACTGAAATGTCTGTCTTCCTTAAATGTTGTTACTCTGTGCTATGTGTAACGTTAAAGTGATTAATCTGTAGAACTCGTTATAAATTAAGCACGCTACAATACATATAAACAGCCAATGAAAGTATGTTCAAAAGGCTGACGCTTCCCAATATTGGGCACCTTTGGCAGCATCTCCTAGAAGCAAGTGAACACAACTGAGCTGTTGCTGACTAAAGGCAAGTTCAAGAATCGGCCTGGGAGGGTGGCTAACTGATGAGGGCACTGAGGTCAGGCCTGCCTCTATGGAAGGCCTCTGACAGGAATAGAAGCTGTGGGGAAGTCACCTCAGCATCTGGTGATGGATGGTTCCACTATCATGGGCGGGTCGGTCCTTCTGGCGCGCCTTGCGCTGGCTGTCAGACATTGAAAGATGGAAATAGACAGCCGCGCCGCCCGCTCGGATAGGGCCCCATCTGCCGCACAGAGCGTTGCCCGAGAAACGGCGCTTATGCGGCCTGAGAGAGATTCCAGGGACGCGGTGACGTAGGGCACGCACGAGCCAGCGCGGGCTCCGGAGTGCGCATGTGTGCTGTGTGCACTCCCGGAAGTCGGCCATGGCGGCTCTCCGCGAAGCCGCCCTGCGGAAACTGCGGAGATTTTCCGAACTGAGAGGTACCGCTGCGGAACTGAATATCGTAGGCCCGTGCACGGAGGGCTCCTTCAAGGACCCCGCGGACGCTTCCTGTCCGGCGCCCCTTCCTGTCCTCCCTGTCCCGCACAGCCTGGCCTGCCTGCTCTTCTGTGGCTCTCTGCGTGCCTCAGCTTACCTGTCAGGGAGAAGCAATAAGAGTTACCTAGTGGCTGTGAAGGCTGTGTGAATGTAACTGATTCACCGCTTAGCTCGTTGGTGGAAGTCATTTGCTTAGCTTCCGAACGAGTTTTTACCTTGTTTCTTCCTTTTCCCCACTTCCCTGCGTAACTCCTGTTTATTTCTATGTAAGCGTCAATATGAAAGCAATCATGGCTTTAACATTCTAAATGTAACTTTGCCTTTAAAGGAAAAACAGATGAGTGCTTCCATTTCTATGAACAGCTGTCTGATAAAAATGGTATTGGTGACTGCCTAAAATGTAGGGGTTTATATTTGAATATCAGAATGTTTGGAATTATTAAATTATAGCTAACTTCCCCCACTTCCTTTTCCCTCCCTTCTTCTCCCTCCTCCCTTTCTACTTGTTAAAACCCTATTAATATTTTTGTTGATTAAAAAAAATAGAGGGTCCCACTGTATACTACAATTTCAGTTTTTCATTTAATGAGTTCATCCGGGAGTTTGATCCTGAGTTTTCTGCAGTATTCTGATTGCTTGTGCAACTTTAGTTTGGGCATCGTAAGTTAGTAACTGTAGTAAGAGTTAAGCATCCTCAAGTTGATGTTTCTCGGCTGGGGGACATTAAGGGCACTAATTAAGGAAACTTGATTTTGAGTGCTAGTGCGCTTTATTTTGCATCCTCTTCTATTTTATGTTTTTTTAATTTGTATTTTTAAATTAATTACAGTTTATTCATTTTACATCCCAGCTGTAGCCTCCTCTCTCATTGCCTCCCAACCCCATCCTCCTTCATCTCCTTCCATGCCCCTCCCCATGTCCACTGATAGGGAAGGTCCTCCTCCCCTTCCATCTGACCCTAGCTTATCAGGTCCCATCAGACTACCTGCATTGTCTTCCTCTGTGGCCTGGTAAGGCTGCTCCCCCTATCAGGGGGAGGTGAACAAAGAGCCAGCCACTAAGTTCATGTCAGAGACAGTCCCTGTTCCCCTTACCAGGGAACCCACCTGGAGACTGAGCTGCCATGGGCTACATCTGTGCAGGAATTCTAGGTTATTTCCATGAATGGTCCTTAGTTGGAGTATCAATCTTAGAAAAGACCCCTGAGCCCAGTTTGCTGGTTCAGTTGCTTTGCTTGTGGAACTCCTGTCCCCTCCAGGTCTTTCTTTCTCCCCCTTCTTTCAGAAGTTTGCACTATGCCTGTAGTTTGGCTATGAGTCTCAGCATCTACTTTGAGACCCTGCTGGGTAGAGTCTTTCAGTGGCCCTCTGTGGTAGGTACCTGTCCTGTTCCCTGTTTTCTCCCTATTCTGATGTCTATCCCATTTGCCTTTCTGAGTGAGGATTGATCAACTTGCCCAGGGTCCTCCTTGCTTAGCTTCTTTATGTGTACGGATTTTAGCATGTTTATCCTAAATTATATACCTAATATCCACTTATAAGTGACTATATACCATGTGTATCTTTCTGCTTCTGGGATATCTTACTCAGGATGATCTTTACTAGCTCCCACTGTTTGCCTGCAAATGTCATGATTTCCTTGTTTTTAATTGTTGAGTAATATTCCATTATGTAAATGTACCATAATTTCTTTATCCATTCCTCAGTTGAGGGGATTCTGCGGTGTTTCCAGGTTCTGGCTATTACAAATAAAGTTGCTATGAACATGGTTGAGCAAATGTCCTCTTTGTACACTTGAACATATATTGGATATATGCGTAGGAGTGGTATAGCTGGATCTTGAGGAAGCACTATTCCTAATTGTCTGAGAAAGCACCAGATTGATTTCCAGAGTGGTTGTATAAGCTTACATTCCCACCAGCAGTGGAGAAGGATTCCCCTTTCCCCACATCCTCTCCAGTATGTATTGTCACTTGAGTTTTGGATCTTAGCCATTCTGATGGGTATAAGGTGAAATCTCAGGATCCTTTTGATTTGCATTCCCCTAATTAATAAGGACATTGAGCATTTCTTTAAGTGTTTCTCTGCCATTCAGTATTCCTCTGTTGAGAATTCTCTGTTTTATTTGTAAATTAATTTTATTTGTAAATTAAAAAATGTACCCCATTTTTTAATTGGATTACTTGATTTGTTGCTGCTTAACTTCTTAATTTCTTTATATATTCTGGATATTGCCCTCTGTCAGATACAGTGTTGGTGAAGATCCTTTCCCAGTCTGTAGGCTGTCGTTTTGTTCTGACAACAGTATCTTTTGCTTTACAGTAGCTTTTCAGTTTCATGAGGTCCCATTTATTGATTGTTGCTCTTAGAGCCTATGCTGTTGGTGTTCTGTTCAGGAAGTTGTCAACTGTGCCAATGAGTTCTAGGCTCTTCCCCACTTTTTCTTCTAACCGATTTTAGTGTGTCTGGTTTTATGTTGAGGTCTTTGATCCACTTGGACTTTAGTTTTGTGCAGGATAATGAATATGGATCTATTTTCATTTTTCTGCACGTAGACATCCAGTTGGACCAGCACCATTTGTTGAAGATGCTGTATTTTTTCCATTGAATGGTTTTGGCTTCTTTGTTAAAAATCAAGTATTCATAAGTGTGTGGGTTTATTTCTGGGTCTTCCATCTAATTCCATTGATCCACCATTCTGTTTCTATGCCAGTACCATGCAGTTTTTATTACTGTTGCTCTCTAGTACAGCTTGAGATCAGGGATAGAGATACCTCCAGACGATCTGTTGTGCAGGATTGTTTTGGCATTTCTTGGTTCTTTTGTTTTTTCCATATGAAGTTGACAATTGTTTTATCAAGGCCTGTAAAGAATGGTGTTGATTTTCTGATGGGAATTGCATTGAATCTGTAGATTGCTTTTGGCATGATTGCCATTTTCACAATGTTAATCCTACATTTCCCTGCGCATGGGAGGTCTTTCCATCTTCTGATATCTTCTTCAATTTCTTTCTTCAGAGACTTGAATTTTTTTTTTCAAACATGCCTTTCACTTGCTTGGTTAGATTCAGACCACAGTACTTTTTGTTATTAGTGGCTATTGTGAAGGGTGTAGTATCCCTAATTTCTTTCTCAGCCCTTTTGTCTTTCATATACAGGAAGGCTACTGATTTTTTTTTTTTTTTAGTTAATTTTGTATCCAGCCACTTTGCTAAAGGTGTTTATCAGCTGAAGAAGTTCTCTGGTTAAATTTTTGGGGTCACTCATGTATACTATCATATCATCTGCAAGTAGTGATACTTTGACCTCTTCCTTTGTGATTTGTATCCGCTTGATCTCCTTCAAATGTCTTATTGCTCTAGCAAGGACTTCCAGCACTATGTTGAAGAGATATGGAGAGAGTGGACAGCCTTGCCTTGTCCCTGATTTCAGTGGGATTGATTTAAGTTTCTCTCCATTTAGTTTGATGTTGGCTTTAGGCTTGCTGTATGTTGTCTTTACTATGTTTAATTATGTGCCTTGTGTCCCTGATCTCTCCAAGACTTCAAATATGAATGGATGTTGGATTGTGTCAAATGCTTTTCAGCATCTAAGGAGATAATCATGTGGTTTTTCTCCTTCAGTTTGTTTATATGGTGGATTACATTGATGGATTTCTGAATATTGAACCACCCCTGCATGCATGGGATGAATCCTACTATGGGATGGTGGATGATTTCTTTTATCTGTTCTTGGATTCATTTTGTAAGTATTTTATTGAGTATGAGAGATAAGTCTGAAGTTCTCTTTTATTGGGGGGGGTCTTTGGTTTAGGTATAAAGGTGACTGTGGCTTCATAGAATAAGTTTGGTAATGTTCTGTTTCTATTTTGTGGAATACTTTCAAGAGGATTGGAATTAGCTCTTCTTTGAAGGTCTGGTAGAATTCTGCACTGAAACCATCTGGCCCTGGGCTTTTTTTGAAGGGAGGCTTTTGATGACTGCTTCTATTTCTTTGGGGGATATAGGACTATTCAATATATTTACCTGATCTTGATTTAATTTTGGTAAATGGAATATTATGAAAATTGTTCATTTAGATTTTCATATTTTGTGGCATATAGGCTTTTGTAGTAAGACCTAATAATTTTTTGGATTTCCTCAGTGTCTGTTATGTCCCCCTTTTCATTTATGATTTTGCTGATTTGGATAGTTTCTTTCTGTCTAACTAAACTAACTGTTTAGAAACTAACTGTTTCTTTAGTTAGTTTGCCTAAGGGTTTGTCTGTCTTGTTGATTTTCTCAATGAACCAGCTCTTGGTCTCATTGATTCTTTGTATTGTTTTTTTTGTAAATCATTGATTGCAGCTCTGAGTTTATTTCCAATCATGTACTCCTCTTGGGTGTGTCTGTCTGTCTTTCTTTCTTTCTTTCTTTCTTTCTTTCTTTCTTTCTTTCTTTCT